ACACTGATCACGTGGCAGTTACAGAGCTGCTCCACAGTAGGAATCTTTCAGGCAGATTAGCGCGCTGGTGTTTGACCATCCAAGAGTTCGAACCCGTCTTCCAGTATTTACCTGGACGTGCGAGTGTGGTCGCAGATGCCTTGTCTAGAAATATAGCACCGATGATGCCTGTATGTTCGTTCACTCTCTCACAATTGAAGGATGAACAACGACTGGGTCCTTTGTGGTCTGCAGTCATTTTTGTTCTAGAGTCACGGTCTAGAGTCACGGGGAGGAGAACAATCTTCCAAAGTTACCTATGACAAGACATACTCTATCGTTCCAAGCAGACGACTGAGGTATGATTACGCAAATTGTTGTACCTTATACCCTTCGAGCAACCATTTTAACATTGTATCATAAACTCCCCAAGCAGGTCACCCGAGACGTGACAAATGTCTGGCGGAGGTCAGAAAGAAGTATTTGTGGACTAAAATGAGAAAAGATATTGAGCAGTACATTGTTAAGTGTCTATCATGTGCTCAACATAAGGGTACTACTTTGTCACCGGCTCCAATTCTACAATATCCTACACCAGAACGTCCGTTTGACACAGTCGCCATAGACTTGTTGCAACTACCGAGGAGTCATCAAAGATCCTCGGACGTACTGCTGTGTGTGTGCATCATTTTTCTAGATTTATGATTTTAGTCCCACAAAAGGATAAAACAGCCAAATCTGTAGCTTTCGCTCTAGTTATGCACCTCGTATGTCCGTTTAATACTCCCAAGGCTCCTCTCTCCGATAACGGATTAGAGTTCAAGAATCAGTTAGTAGCAAAACAAATTTCCCAATATGGTATGCAGCAAAGTTTTATTACAGCCTATCATCCACAGGCTAATGGCCTTGTCGAAAGAACCAATCGTAAAATCATAAAGATTCTTCGTCCGAAAGTGAATCAAATGCAAAATGCATGGGAAGACTGGTTACCACAAGTCGCTGCATCTGTTAATGGGTCGATTAATAGCTCCACGGGTAAATCACCTTATTATATCGTTTACGGTATTGACAAATGTCTGCCCTATGACGAACTTACAGGCAAGCCTTACTCCGTGTACAATGTTGACGATTTTGCGACCAAGCAAATGAGCGTTTTTACAAATATTCATGGACAAGTACGGAAACAATTAGCAGCTCCATGCGCTGAAATGATTTATAAGCAACAGAAACAGGCTAAACCTACAACATTAGAAATAGGTGATGCTGTTATGTTAAGAGAACCTGAAAGGATTTCCAAACTTTTGCCCAAATTTGCGGGACCATTCCGCATTATTGCTAAAGCGGGCAATAAATAATTGTTTTTTAAACTAAATACACAAACGTCAGACGTAGTACACGTGGACAAACTTAAAAGGGTCCATCCTGACTTACTCCCCAAGAATGTTAATGATGTCTCAGACACAAATGGTCAAACAGTAAGCACATCAAGTACATCAAGTGTGAGTAATAATTGTCGTTTAAAACTACGTTCTGCGAAACAGTATTTAAATGCATCAAACTTTTTTTTTACAGTATGACTTGGGTCATCGTATTAATGCTCCGTGTTTATGGATACGTCTCCGGAAGTTCTCAAGACAGGTGCTCTTGTTGCACCTTTGGGACGAGTTCTCATTGTTGAAGATGTCGTGAACATAAAGTTGCACTGACTGCTCAAGCTTCCACGCCAGATGGAGTCTATTGACACCCAACTGCAGACAGTTGGGACGTCCTTGATGATCTAAGTAAGAATCCTAACAGTTCGACAATAGTATCACAAACTGTTAATCTTCAGCTACTTCGTCACAAGAATCTTCACAAGACTATCGTCGCAGCTGGACGTTCCATTCCAGCATCTCAGGATGATCTTGTAAAGAAGGTGCTGTTCTCAAACGCGAAGAAAGCGAGGATTGTTTAATTTTGTTGGTCTTATGCAAAGAGCACTGTTTGGCACTGCGACTGCCGAGGATGTAGCTAAATTAGGAGATCGTTTGAACATTGTCGACCAAGCCGTTCTTAAACAAAATCGTGTTATAACTCCAACTTCTCTTGCAATTAATGCCTTGGAATCAAAAGTTAATGCGATTATTTAAGTCAAACCATTTATCTACGGTTGTTTATAATTGAATGAATTCAGTCCCTACATAGGAGTGGCTCCTTTCCTTTTCTGAGTATTTGCATGCTGCAGAAACTTCAGCTCAAGCTTTATTCAATGGTAAAAACGAGTTAATTTTATGTATTGTAGATGCAGGGTTAGGGCGTGTGGATTCACAGCTTGTGCCTGTGCATATTCTTCTTGAAGCTTTACAAATAGCCAAGCTGTTAAATCAGTTAACTCTTATTTTCACAGAACATGAGGTGGAATATTATTACCCTCTGTTAGAGTCAACTTTCACGCACAATGCTATCCTCATCCACATACCTATGCTAGCGCAACGCAAATATAATGCATGGCATTTAGAACCTTTCCCTTTGTATTCTAATGACACACTGTTTACGCTAGATAAACCAACCGAAGTTTTGCTAATAGATGAAGATTACTCTTTGTTGGCAGTAGATGATTCTAGGGTTTTATCACGGTGAAAATCGTCATATTTACATTCGCACGTTTGCCCAGCCTAGTTCTTCACGTTTATTCCTGCTGCTGAAGGAATATGTGAATTGGCGATCATTCAAACAGCGCTAAAACAATGTCAGTATACACCAATTGCAAAGAAACTTGTGTTTCATGCACGTCTACATAACGTGCAGTATTTTTTCTTCCCTTAAGAAACTAACGTCATTTTACAGTGCCAGGATGGTGGTAAACGTTTAGTTGTGAAAGGTTACTATAAGGCTCCGGATTACTGTGAAAGATCATGTCATTCGTTGAAGACCTTGCCTACTCATCATCATTTTGCATTGAACTTAAATCTCACTTCAGATTTAATTCCTTTGTATCAGGTTCTTAATTTGACCCTAAGGTAGCAGGCAGCTATCAAACAGGGAGGTACTACCGCCTGGGAAGATATTGGAAGCCTAATGTGTTGTCTAATGGTAGACCCTGCTGCCATATGGCATCACGAAAATTGTGACCAAGTCCCAGGTTGCTATCTGACTTTCTGCCTCATTTACACACAATAGCAGGGTCTCAATTGTTTCTCTTACTATTGACAACACAACATACATATATTGTTTCTCACCATTGATCTTTTTTTTTCATTTTTGTATTTCTTTATGGTTTATTATTATTATTATTATTATTATTATTATTATTATTATTATTATTATTATTATTATTTTATTATTTTTTTTATTTTTTATTATAAATTTTATTTACTATGAATTAATTATTATTATTAATATTGTTATTAATATTATTATTACATTTTTGCCCCCAGGACACGATGTGGGTCAGTGACCTATGCCCGGGTGGACTAATCCTGTATAAAAGAAAAAAAGAGAAAAAAAGGAACTCAATATTGTATCGGATCAATTAAAATTAATTTCTTATCTGAAACAATCACATTTTGCTAATCTTGAAAATAAACTGCCATTTTATTTTTCACAGGGATTTGCAATACCTAGTTTAACTATTCCCACTTTTCTCTTAATTTCAGCAGTGATATTTTTGTTTTGTTATTATAAGTCAATAATCTTTAAGTTTACCATTGTACATAATATATTATCTCGTAAGAGACTTCAGACTAGGGCTCCAGTTACTGCTGAACCCCAGGTTGCAGTTTCTCCACTTTAGTGTCTACACACGTATATATTTGTAACATGGATAGGCCGATGTATAGATAGAGTTTTCTCTGCGAGATTAGTTAATTCCTCGAGGAGCTCGGAAGGTGTGACCGAGCGATGTATTAGCCCGCCTTATAGACATAACTATTTATATAAATATGGGTTAATATATTTGTATTGTAACTATCACCCACTGTAATTTTCCGTAGTTGTGAGGTAGCATGTTCAAAGCACGTGATGGGTAAGTTCCATGCACAAGGCATGTCCTCAGAATACCCAAGGTCAGCTATCTTGGGCTGGACCCACTAGCAATATCTACTCAACTTTCACTATAGTTGGATGTCCTTAGAGCTTATCCCTGATAGCTCCGTCCTTCCTATAGCCCTCACAGTTACAATGACTATTACAGTGATTATCCTTTGGACAGTGTACATAGACTCTTTTGATAATAAACAAAGGAACATATTGGGTTTCGCTACTAAAACCCAATAAACTTTTATCTATATTTTAGTTCAAGAATATAAGGTAACAGCTTCACAAGTGCCTGTTACAAGTGGTGACAACCCAGCAAGGTTGCTACATATATGACAGCTGCACAAGTAGTTGTTATACAATGATAACAGTCACCTAGCAGTGACACAGTTGGTAAAGGTAGAGATAATTTGTTCTCCCCATTACTGTGTTACACTGTTACTAAGAAGCTATTGTTACAAACAAGCCTAGTAAGACAACTGAAGATAAGTGTTGCGCAAGTATTGTGGAAATGTTGTGATCAATATAAAGTGAAAAGACTAAGGTATTGTACACTGGTAGTGTGCTGACTATGCAGTATATTCGAAGTGAGAAGTCCAGCTGTGAAGCCATTACCCTGTGAACAGTGTTGTGAAGAATTAGTGACTATTTAAGGAGACTACAGTGCACAAGTGTGTTTCTGTGACCTGGTGGAAATCTACCTGCCTCTTGTTTGTCTGTACATTGACACCGATTATCAGGAAATTACCGGAGACTGGCGGGATAGCCAGTAGTAATTCGACGACACTTGTGAGAAATCTACTGCTTCGGTACATATGACCCTGGCTGCTGGTAACCAGTGGTGGAAGCTGGGTAAGCGGGAAAGGAGGGTCGTAACAGAATGTTTTGTCAATAGTAAGAGAAACAATTGAGACCCTGCAATTGTGTGTAAATGAGGCAGAAAGTCAGATCAGCAACCTGGCACTTGGTTTCAATTTTTGTGATGCCATATGGCAGCAGGGCCTACCATTAGACAATACATTATGCTTCCAATATCTTCCCAGGCGGTAGTACCTTCCTGTTTGGTAGCTGCTTTCTATCTACTACCTGGTGAATTAGTTTCATGTCATCTATCAATAATTAAGGTGGCCTCCACGTACAAAAATTCACCTGGGCTGGGGGAGAATACTACATAACTTATTAAAGTGAATTTAAATGAACCTATAATGTGGTTTTGTTAGGTTACCCTTGTTTGTATGAACTTACTGTTTGCCAGCGTGTGTGTAGTCTGTGTATATTGTTTGCACCTGTAGGCTATGTGTATTGTTTGTACTGTATATGGTTTTATTCCCGAATTCATTGTATACCTGCAGTGTCTGTGTACTATGCCGAATCATTATGAAATTGTATGGTGATTTTACTGCATAATATCTGTCTAACCTGGTGATGCAGTCTTTGGTCTGGTAGAACATGTCTTTGGTATATAGGACATAACTCTACGTACCTCATCCTGGCCTTTGATGTGGCCCCTTAAACTGTTGTGTGTGAATTCTGTTGAATGTGAAGAAAAATTTGATAACACGTAGTAAAGATTCTCTAAATATCCTTATTCGACAATAAGATATGCAGAGCAGTATATGTATACAGTATACTGATTTCAATAAATTTTAGTTATATCAATACGAACTAATTTATAGACCTCTTCCTGTCTAAGGCTGTTGGTTCGTTTATATCCACCCAGCTGCACTATTCCTAGGTGCCACCTTTGAGAAGGTGACCATATGTAAAAAATTTTGTACCCCCTTACTCAGATGCGAGCCTTGAACTAATACTTCAGCCAGTGACCAAAAACAGATGGAAGCGCTGTATTTTCCCAGTGGCACCTGAACACAGTGACTCATCTACCATTTAACTGAGGCAGTCATCACTTAGTTCCCATCGAGAGAAGAAGGATGTTTCAGAAGATGCGGGTCATCACTGCAGGCAGTATAAGAGAACTGCTGTTAAACAAGGCAGATGTGCTTGTGTCTGATGTAGCTTCCTTGAGTATCAGAAAAAAAAATCAGTAGTGTAGCAAAGGAGAACATTGGGCGCTGTTTATTGCCCATCTTGAGATGTTTCATTTATTATAGATCCCCTAAAATTTCTAATCGTTTTATAATACAAAAAATAAAGTTCAATTATTTCTCATTCATCACAAAAGAGAAATAAATCGAATTTATTATTCCTTATTCTTGAAATGCTTTTGATTATCTTCCTTTACCACCTCCTGCAAAAAAAAAAAAAAAAAAGCTATTAATCTAAGTGAAATTTCTCAGTTGTGCTTGAGGCGAGGACTCTGCCTTTGACCTTTTCCTTGGGAGGATGGTGGTGGGCGAGGCGCCATGCCCTCTGTTGGTACCTACGGCCTTTGGAGACAGACGACCTCCTTGACTTAATCCTGGACTTCCTCTTGGGGGAGGGGAGTGACCAGGTGAGGTTCCAGGGGTTGTTGATGTTGAAGTGGAAGCGGCTGTACTGCTTCCAGCGGAGCTTCTGTGTATACTCTATACTGGATCTCACCAAGTCGGTGCAGTACTTCTGTTGTCTGTGTGAGAGGGAAGGCTGGATCATCCTTGTGTACATTTATATGTATATACACTATATCGCAAATTTGATTGTAAATAATAAAAAACTTCCCTGGCTGTACATACAGATTATGTAGGCGTGTTAATGCTTTATCAACACATATTTCCTGTCGACAATTTAGCCTTTGTACTAAATTTTTCCCCTTTTCACATTACTGTATAGTGCTAAACAAATTATGACCCCTCAATGAAAATATATAAACACAACATTGTACAGTACATGTAGTTATATGTAGTTTTGGTTGTTTCTTTGAAGGTATTAAGTGGTTATATTCCTCACGTGACTTTTCATTGGTAATTACTTGCTTGATTTTTTCTTTTTTTTTTTTGCTTCTGCAGCAGCCGTTGTTGTCATGGGTAACTACCTACCTGGTGGAGCCATTGTTGTGAACCTTGTATTGGACTACCAGGTATCTCTCCATGTCTTTGTGTGCACGTCGCTTCGAAACTGAGTTCGTCTCCTTCAACCCACATTCCTTCCATACCTGGAGGGAGAGTTAACAATGTCTACTCCACTCTACAATTTGGAGTATAAGGTAAAACTTTCAATCTCTTGGAATTTTAAGGTAAATCTCTTTCTCTCTCTTACATCACATAAGTTGGAATCCACTTTGGTTGTCAAGGTGATCATCCCAGCCTTTATCATAAAAAAACTTCAGACTAACATTTAAAAATATAGAACAAACACCAGTATGAATTATGCCATTATATATATTGTAGTCATATATGTAACTAGATACATTTATATTAAGATTCTACCTTAACTAGATAAGGTACAAAACCTTAATGATTCCAGAACCTAGACTTTACCTTATCTCTCATCTCTCTTAAGCTCGTTACCTCCTCCTCCATCCGCCCACGCCCGAAGGCTTCCACATGCTTGTCAAACCTGTTGAAGAATTGATAGAATGTATGGTTAGAAATAGTAGTAGAATTCCTGCCCCGCCCCGCCCCGCCCCGCCCCACCCCGTCCTGTCCAGCTCAGCCCAGCCCTCCCCGCCCTGTCGGCCAGCACACCAAAACTTACCCTCCCTCTCTCCCTCCCCTCTCAAACTACAACCATCTACCTCTCCCACTGCTCTTCCTTTCCCAGGTCGACTTCATGGCTGGGAAATGCGTTTGTCAGTGCTCAGGGCGGAATTAGAAATGTACAACCTGTATTTGTGTGAGAAGTAACACACTATGTGTGGGTTGTAGGAAAGGGACCAACTGTCGAAATCCCTACGGCAGAGATCCATCACCTGATGACGACATGTCAGACGATAGCAGTAAACCCACTCAGTCGGAAAATACTGTTCATGAGGTGAATGACAAACAGTCAACAAATTGGAATGGCTTGTCGGGGGACGATGCGGAGAAGTGGGTCAAAGAAGCCTACTCAGAAGTCGTCTGGTGGTCGCCAGCTAACCTCTTTGAATCACCCAAGTGTGCGGCCACTAAAGAAATTATCCGGGAGATGACTCGCCTCATAAACAATTACACTCACGACAGCTCCCTGGCCTCATTAGCTCTTCAAATACTGGCAATAATACCCCATTTATTCTGTCAGAGGACACACGCAAGGACTAAGGCAAAGAAAATGTGGCGGCAATGAATAAGAGACTGACAATGTGGCAGAAAGGGGCCCTTAATGATCTCCTATGCGAGGCAAGAACACTGCAGGAGAAACTAAAATTCATAGGAGTTGAAAAGCAAAACACTGAGGATGTTGCCAGAAAGTTTGGTAACAAGATGTGTGGGGGAAAAGTGTCCTTGGCTGTAAGATCTCTCACAGAGGAATCTTCCGGTGGTGTTCTGCCAATAAACAGAGAGACATTACAACAACTGAAGGAAAAACATCCCCCTGCTAGTGCAGAGGAAAGCAGCCTATATCCCTCCATATGCTGTCATGTTCGAGAAAATAACAGGAGGGAAGGTGTGGGAAAGAGCACTAAAGACACAGGGAGGGACAGGCCCTTCAGGCGTGGATGCAGACGGTTGGAGATTCATCCTCAGCACTAACAAGTTTGGTGCCGCAGCAAGTGATTTCTGCAATGCCACCGCCACCCTTGCAAGAAAGCTAACAACCTTGTGCTGCCACCACTTCCATACACAGATGGTCAGCCACCTCATTTCACTGGATAAAAATCCAGGATGTAGGCCTGTAGGAGTGGCAGAAGTGCTGATCATTGGAAAATGCATAATGGGAGTGGCAAATGATGATGTCAGGGCAGCTGCAGGGAACCTGCAAGTATGTGCTGGCCACCAGGCTAGGGGTGAAGCTGCCATTCACGCCATGAGAAAGATATTTGAGCAGCGTGATTGTGAGGCAGTACTCCTGGTTGACGCTTCCAACACATTTAACATAATCAACTGCAAGGCTACACTGCAAAACATTTAGATCAAGTGTCCAAGCTTTGCAATGTATGTTGAAAAGACCTACAGGAACCCGACAGACCTCTCTATACCAAGCTTTAAGGCTCAAAGAGGAGGTACAGTACCATCATACAGTCAGTTGAGGGAACAACGCAGGGGGACCCTGTCGCCATGACAATGTACGTAATAGGCCTATTCTTGCTTCAACACACAAAAAACTATGAAACAACCAATGTCAAGCAAGTGGCATATGCTGATGACCTTACAGGAGCAGGAAAATTGGAGGACATCAAAAAGTGGTGGGACCTGGTAACATCACGTGGTCCAAAAATAGGGTACTACCCAAATGTCAGCAAGTTCTTCCTCCTTGGGAAGCCAGAATACCATGAACGGGCAATAGAGGTGTTCAACGGAAGTGAGGTCAAAATAACTAAGGACGGCCAAAGACACCCAGGTGCTGTAATCGGTACTAATGACTTCAAGACCGAGTATGTAACTGGAAAGGTAAATGAGCGGGTGAAGGAAATCCAAGCTTTGTATAATAGTTAAAACGAAGCCACATGCGGCTTTTGCGGCATTCACCCATGGAGTCAAGCAATCGCTTGATATCAGACTCCTCCTCCACCCTCTGGAAGAAGCCATCAGAGTCACTTTTATTCCAACACCAGTGAAATTCTTTCACTTAACCCCAGTAGAAATGTCACTCCTAGCACTGCTACCGAGACTGGGAGGAATGGGAATGGCTAATCCAGAGGGGCTTGCTGCCACCGAACATCAGAATGCAGTCAAACTCACAGCAGCCCTCACTGAGCACATCTTAGCTTGATTGCAGCAAGTGAAGTTGATACCAACGAATTAAACAAGATTCGACGGTCCATTATGACAGAACGACAGCACACCCAAAGTGAGAAACTTCATCAACTAATGCAGCAAATGCCAGAGAACCTGAAAAAAGGGCAGCTATAGCACAGGAAGTGAGCGCCTCAAACTAGCTAACAACGTTATCGATAAGGGCAAAAGGCTTCAGCCTTAACAAACAAGAATTTACAGATGCCATTACTCTAAGGTATGGTTGGCCAGTAGGTTTGCCCACTCAATGCGTGTGTGGCTCACCTTACGACATTGACCACGCCATGGTGTGCGAGAAGGGGGGCTTTGTATGCATGAGGCATGAAGGAAATCTGCCACGATGTCACGGTGGACCGCCCCTCCTTTCATTAAACGGTGAGAATCTCTATCATAGGACTTCCAACGAAGCCCGTGTGGACGTCAGTGCTCGAGGATTGTGGATGCAGGGAACTGCAAGCCTTCTTTGATGTCAGGATATTCGACCCCATGGCCGCATGTCACCGTAACCTAGCTCTCAATGCTGCACACAAGAGGAACGAGAACGAGAGAATTCAGAATGTGGACCAAGGCAGCTTCACTCCTTTGGTGTTCACAACCTCTGAGGGGTTGGGACCAACTGCAAGATACTTCTATGCGAGACTGGCCGAGGAATTATCTGGACAGAAGCTGCAGCCCAGAAATTATGTTGCTTAGGTCTGCATTGTTTTGCCTCAGGGGGACGAGATCTTCGATCCCAAAGCCGACAACGGTCGCAGATATTGACTATGAGGCAACAGTCACTGAATGCCGCATACATCTGCGACTTAACTAACTCAACACAGCTAGGGTAGCTAGGTTTGTATTAGGATATTTAATATTAAGGTAATAAAATGGTGGCGAAGGTGTGGCTATTGGGGGAGGCTGGAGGCCGCGTTTAAAAAAAAAAGTAGTAGTAGTCCATTAGTGAGTAGTAGTTGTTAGTAAAATTATTGTAGGTAGTCTCTCTCTCTCTCTCTTACCTGTCCTTAAAGTAGGCGTACAACTTGACATCGGCAGCGTTGAAGTGCTCCAGCGTGTTGACAGAGTGCTCACTAAGGTAACTACGGTAGCGGTCCTTGCGTACATTGCGGGCCATAGCAACCACGTCCTCCTCGGTCCAGCACATCAAATGTCTGAGAAGCACCAGTGACTCGTCCATACGCTCCGCCACCTGGTGAGGAAAACAGAACCAAAGGAAGGAGGACATTAACATAATTTATTATTTATTTATTTATTTATTTATCTAGCACCCCTCGGTAAGACATATCTCATAGGTTCGTAAGTTTTATTTTTGTATGATGAACAGTACATTGTAGCATTAATAATGAAAATATACACTTGTAAGTCTCTCTCTCTCTCTCTCTCTCTCACCAAAACTAGATGAAAGGTTTGGTCCAGGATGTTAATGGCTTCCTTCAGTAGAGATTCTTGGCGCATGTCCAGGTCGTCAAGGCCCATGTCCCACGTAATCTGGTTCCTCCCTAGTCGTCCCATGTACCTGTCCCAACCCAGGGTGTATTAGTTCCTCACAGTACATTGTTGGTGGAGGTAACAAAGATAACAACGAAAATAACACTAATAATAATAATAATAATAATAATAATAATAATAATAATAATAATAATAATAATAATAATAATGATAATGATAATAATTCACTAAATTCATTAACCCAATAATTCACTAAATTCATTAACCCATTCTATCATATTGTAAAGTGAAAAAGAAATGTTTAGGTTCTCTTATTTTATATTTTAGTTAAACTCAAAGTCACTATTTACCGTTATTTGATTTCTTTGTTTCCTGTTGTTATTATTTACTGTTGATGAATTGCTTTGGTACTGTTGAACTTTCTGGTAATGACTTCTGTTACTCTTTATTTGTCAACTACTTGTTTTTAACTGTTTTGTTGTTATGATGTATTACTACGCCTTAACAACTACTGTCGTCAAGTGTGTATGTTAAGTTAGTAAATACAGATCATGTGAAGATTACACCCCACATATTTCAACTGATGATTAAACACCTTAATATTATTGGGAGGGGGGGAGGAGGGTTAGGTTACATTAGGTCAGCATAAGGTTGGTTGGTTTTAAGGTTAAATAAACTGGGGGCGCTAATCTTCATGTGATCCTTTTGTTTATACTCTGCTCACCTGTTGTTAGCATTCTTGAACTTGGCTTTGCTGGTTGGGTTGCCCTCCAGCTTCCACACGAGGTGATCAAAGGTGGCCCCGTAGAACTTGTGCAGATGGTAGTAGTGGAACATGGATTCGAAGACAGCTGAAGGCTCTCGAACGATGGTCACCCACACCGAGTCATCGTAGGTCAGCTGGGGACACAAGTCTCTGGGTCACAAGGTCACATGGTTGTTAGGACGAGGTATTTAAGTTGACCCGGTTAAAGTAGGTGTGATATAGGGTCAAGTAACAAAGTCAGTTTTGAAAGACGATCCACCAGAGTAAGTTAGGGAAGGTTAAATATCAATGAGACATTAACTCTTTCGTAAAACCGTTACTGGACCAAGAAGGAAACTTTGTTTTTAGAATTTCATTAATGGACCATAAACAGAAGCCTCTATAATGTCTTAATGAATCCACAAAACTAGAAGTACTCCTTTCTCGCCATTTGAGAACCCGTGAACAAACTCAGGTCATGAAGATTAGGCACTGGCATATGTCACCTTATTCAACACCCTAACATTAACTTAACCTAACCCTCCTGGTAGCATTACGATGTATAGTCATTAGGTGGAATAAGCTAGGGTGCCTAATTTGTATGAGGTCAGAACCCTCTCACCCTTGAACCCACAAAATTTGAAGCTCTCCTCTTTCTCCCATTTGTGTACCCCATGAATATCCCATCACCCTCACTCTACTGACCCCACAAACTCCCCCTCGCACACTCTCCCACCTGTTGTATGGCGCGGACGTTGAGTCTAGTGTGGTGGATGAGGAAGTGGTACTTTCCTGTCGGGGGAGCGAAGGGTGACGCCTTGAGCTCTCGTACTTTGATACTCTGGCCCACGGCGACGTCATCTAGGTACTGGCCAGAGTAAGGCAGTGCCACGGACAGGTTATTGGCATCAGCGTAGCGCATCAAAACGTTCTGGATGGTAGACGAACCGCATTTGTGGGTCTTAAGGAAGACTAGATGACGGCGCGGGCGGCATGTAGGTATAGCTCGCTGGGCTGACCACATTCTTGGTTCGTCTCTGGAAGGAGTAACGACACGTCACCACCCATAAATTATATTGCTTTCTGAAAGTTTAAATAAATTATGACTTGTCCATAGTGATTCGTGGATGATTTATACAAAACAAAATGAAACGTTAAATCTCGTGAAGATTAACCCCACCAGGTTATTTCCCCTGATGATTAAACGCCGTAAAACTACCTAGGTAGGTTAGGTTAGCTTATGCAGAATTTAAGGAAGTCACCATTTAGGATCGTTAATGTTCAGGAGAAATAAGCTCGAGGGATTATCTTCATGTGATCCAATTATTAACTTGAATATATTTTCCGATGTTCCTTTGAGACACAAGAAATGTCTAACAGTAATGCTCTGGGTGTTTATATAGAGAGAAGTGGGCATGTTAGCCTTACTGCCCATCCTCACAACACAATACTCACGCTCCTTTGATGTTCCTATGGAGAGAGAGAGTGTGAGAGACATTGTCATCCCTTGTTAATGATTCCAAACACAAGACTGAATCACCATATAAAGGTTGATTAAAACATTGTCTATAGTTCACAATATTTCATAATTATAAAGTATAAAATTAGGGGTCAGGCTAGATGTATAGATGACGTGTATAGGATGGGTTAAGGGTAAGTTAGGTGTTGAGGAAGATGATGTACCTGAGTGTGATGTGAGGTTATTTAGCATATCTGTCCATGATTATGTCTAAGTGTGAGCATAAGTGAGCATGAGGTGAGAAGAGATCACCTTGCATACTTGAGCATACCTGGCCATATGCATGCCTGGCCATGTGAATACCTGGCCTAATATACCTAGCCATGAATGTACCTGAATATAAGTGTACTTGAACATGAAGTGAGATTGTTCAGCTTATCTGAGCATGAGATAATTTCGTGTACCTGAGCATACCTGAGCATGAGGTTCTGCTGGTTGGTGAGGTTGAGTTGAAGGACGAGGGCCATGCTGCTCACCACACACAGGAGTACCAACATCTTCACCATCATCGTGGGACCTCCATTCTCCTGCCCACGAGAACCCTGTAAGTCACCACACCATCACCGTCACCATCACTACACCGTCACCACACCGTCACGATCACCACACCGTCACCATCACTACACCGTCACCATCACTACACCGTCATCATCACTACACCGTCACTATCACTACACCATCACTATACCGTCACCATCACTACAACGTCACCATCACTACACCATCACAATCACTACACCGCTACCATCACCCAAACAGCACCCACACACCCTATACCGTCACCATCACTACAACGTCACCATCACTACACCATCACAATCACTACACCGCTACCATCACCCAAACAGCACCCACACACCCTATACCGTCACCATACATCACCACACACCCTACAAAGTCACCCTATGTCACCACCCACCAAAAACTGTCACCATACATCACCATACTGTCAACCTGCATCACCACACTGTTAACCTGTATCACCACACCGTCAATATCACCATACATCACAATATAGCTTATATTTGTAGGTAATAATATTATTTTGTGCTCTCTCTCACCTTCTTTTTGATAACCTTTTGTTCTTTCTTCCGCCCCATGACGAGGACCAAGGGGCAGGGTGGCTGAGGTAGGTAGCGAGAGGTTGAAGACGTTCCGTCCTATGGTGGGTCACCGGGGCAGTTTATACAGCTTCCTTCGTCCGGCCATCTTCTGTAAGGTAACACATAACCTGTACTAGCACCATGGTTCACCTGAAGATATTTTCCTCTCTTCTACACCTCATTTCACCCGAAAGATTATTTACCCTAATGTTAACTTAATGCTACTTGGGGGATTAGCATTAAGTTGTAAGTTAGATTAGGGTAGTAATAGTTTAGGTTAGTTTTGTTGCGATAAGTTAGCATAAGAACATAAGAATGGAGGAAAGTGCAGCGGGCCCATTGGCCCATACTGGGCAGTCCCATTTACACCCAGCCCCTATTGCTCATATATCCACCCAACCTATGCTTGAAGCTATCCAGCGTATTCGAGTTAATGATGATATTTGGTAACTTGTTCCATTCATCCACTACTCTATTTCCAAACCAATGTTTACCTATTTCGCGCCAAAATCTAAATTTGTCGAATTTAAAACCATTGTTACAAGTTCGCTCCTGGTAGGATAGTTTGAGTACCTTTGTAATGTCCTCTTTGTTTAGTCCTGACTTCCATTTATACACCTCGATCATGTCGCCCTTCACTGTACTCAAGGTTCCTAATGCCCTGGATTAGTCTTGTCATACATCCTCTGAATTCTTTCCAAGGATTCTATATCCATTCTGTAATACGGTGACCAGAATTGAACTGCGTAATCCAAGTGAGGTCTCACAAGCACAAGATATAGTTTTAAGATGACCTATCTAGTCTTGTAACTGACACTCCTTTGTATGAACCCAAGTACTTTATTAGCTTTGTTTCGAGCAAATACACATTGTTTACTTGGCTTAAGATTCCTACTTATCATTACTCCTAAATCTTTCTCACGGTTGGATTTCTCAATAACATCGTTGTTCATCTGGTATCTGGTTTCCCTGTTTACATCTCCTATACTGAGCACTTTACAATTGTCTGCATTGAATTTCATCTGCCATTTTTCAGACATTCGAAAAATTTGTTTAGATCTTCCTGTAGTTTTGCGGAGTCCCCGTCAGATTTAATTACACGTCCTATTTTAGTGTCATCAGCAAATTTACTTATGTTGCTGTCTACTCCGATATCTATGTCGTTTATGTATATAATAAATATTAATGGTCCAGTTACTGAGCCTTGCTTAACTCCACTAGTGACGTTACTCCAATGGGATTTAGTGCCGTTAATGCTCACTCGCTGTTTTCTGTCCTGTAACCACGCCCTAATCCATTTTACAATATCACCTTTAATGCCATGAGCCTCCATTTTTCTCATTAGTCTTTCGTGGGGGACTCTGACGAAGGCTTTGCTAAAGTCGAGATATACCACATCATAATTGTGCCCCTTGTCCACTGATTCGAAAACTGATGAAAAGAATGCTAATAGATTAGTTAGACATGAACGCCCACTTGTGAAGCCATGTTGGGAATCATTGAATTCAATTTGTGCTTCTCCAGGTGATTTCGAAGAGAGTTTGAAATGATTGCTTCCAGTAATTTGCCTACACTTGATGTTAGACTGATTGGACGGTAGTTAGAGGACAATCTCCCTTCTTGAAAATCAGTATTACATTAGCTATTCTCCAGGATTCTGGTACTACACCTGCTTTTAAGGACATGTTAATCAACTTTGCTAAGGGCATACTAAGCTCTTCCTTACATTCCTTTACTACTCTGGCAAATATCTCATCGGAACCTGGTGACTTATTAGGCTTTAGTTTGTCTATTTGCTTACTAACATCGTTACTAGTCACTACTATCTCGCTCAATTTATTTTCTTCACTATCTCTGTATAGAGTCGGAGCTTCGGGTATCATGTTTAAATTTTCGGTGGTGAAAACTGTCGAAAAATATTTATTCAGATTATTGCTCATTTCTCTGTTGTTATCAGTTAGCTCGCCGGTATCTGACTGTATTGGTCCAATCTTTTCTCGTGTTTTAGTTTGATACATTTGATAGAATCCCATGGGGTTTGACTTCGCCTCCCTTGCTATCTTTAGCTCATAATTCTTCTTTGCTTTTCTTATCTCGGCCTTAACCCTACCGGCCAATACCTTATAATAATCTCGGAGGTAAACTTCACCACGATTTATTTTCCTACCTATAGCCTTCCTTTGTCCAATAATATTCTTTTAATAATTATTTATCCATTTAGGGTCATTGTACTTTGATCTGAGTTTTTTGTATGGTATGTTCTGCCTTTGTGCATCAAGTAACCCATTATTTAAATTGTTGTGGAACTCGGCAACCTCGGATCTCGTTGTCAGGTCAATCTCAACCGTCATGTCTCCGGATAGGGTGAGGTCGCCCTCTGTGGGTACATTGAGTGAGGTCACCTCATGTGAGGCCATGTAGTTCACCCCCATGAGTGATACCCCCTCTCTCAACTGCCTCTTCAAACTATCAAAGTTTGCCCTTCTGAAATCTGGGACTTTAATGGAATTTTCCTTACAGCTGTCCTGAAAATCTAACTGGAATCTAATTTCTTTGTGATTGCTGTTTGCAAGTTCGTTCCCTACCTCGACATTATTAATGAGGTTTTCTCTGTTCGACAGAACTAAATCGAGAATTTTATCACCCCGGGTGGGTTCAGTTATATGTTGACTTAGGAAACAGTCCTGGATGGTTTCAAGAAAATCCTCTGATTTTGAGTTACCCGTAAGGTCAGTCCAATCTATTTGGCTAAAGTTAAAGTCGCCTACTATACAGACTTTGCTATGTATGGAGGCCCTGCGCATTTCTTCCCAAATAAGGCGCTCATTAACTCTATCAAGATTAGAAGGTCTATATATTATGCTGATTCTATCCAAATTGTTTCTGTATTCTGCTCAGTTTTGATTTCCTTATTTTTTTCGCATTTTAGATTATCCCTGACATAAATTGCTACTCCGCCTCCTTTCCTAATCTGCCTGTCGGTATGGAATAATTTTTAACCTGCAATTTGATATTCGACAGGTAACTCATGTGAGTCTAGGTTTATCCATGTTTCAGTGAATGCTATTATATCGATTTTTTCGATACATACCAAGGCCCTAATATCATTCATTTTGCTTCTCATACTTCTACTGTTTGCGTAGTAGACATTTAAGTTGTGTTCTGAGTCCTCTCTCTGTCGCGTTTAAGTTTTAATTCCCTGCCTAATTTAGTTTTGTCATAATTCCTAGGTTTGGTGTAGTTAGTTGTGGGAAAATCTTTCAGGTGATCCCGGTTTCAGGTGTTCAATACAACGAATGTTTACAGCAACAGCGGATTACCTGAAGATTAGGGGCCCCAACATCACCTAAACTAACCTATAATAGCATTATTAGGGTATTTATTCATTTAGTGAAATAAGCTGTGGGGACTTATCTTCAGGTAGTAGGTAGATAGGCAGCTACCAAACAGGGAGGTACTACAGCCTGGGAAGATATTGGAAGCATAATGTGTTGTCTAATGGTAGACCCTGCTGCCATATGGCATCACGAAAATTGTGACCAAGTCCCAGGTTGCTGATCTGACTTTCTGCCTCATTTACACACAATTACAATTGCATGGTCTCAATTGCTTCTCTTAACAATGACAACACAACATACATATATTGTTTCTCACTCTTCATCTTTTTTTTTTTCATTATTATTATTATTATTATTATTATTATTATTATTATTATTGTTATTATTATTATTATTATTATTATTATTATTATTATTATTATTACATTTTCGCCCCTCAGGCCCCGATGTGGGTCAGTGACCTATGCCCGGGTGGGCTAATCCCCGTAAAAAAAAAAGTGATCCCAACAGCTCATAAAGTATATTCATCCTTCAAAAACAGAAACTGATGCAGAAAGGAAAATTAGAAGCAATTATTTTATGTTTAATATAAGAATAAAGATTGATGAAGCTAATAAACTTTAAGTTACAGCAGGACTTACACCTAACCTAACCTACCACCACAGCTTGGGCTGGTAGACTGTTTCTCAGGTCTGCCACTACCACCACAGCTTGGGCTGATAGACTGTTTCTCAGGTTTGCCACTACCACCACAGCTTGGGCTGATAGACGGTTTCTCAGGTCTGCCAGCCTCTGTGTGAAGAAATATTCCCATATATTCGTTCTGTATGATAACTTAACGAGCTTGTAGTTATGTCCTCTCGTGTTGGTGGTGCGGGACATCATTAAGGATATTGAATGTTTCATTGAGATCTGCCCTAACGCTATGATAGTAGTGGTAGCTGTGGTTCAACCTGTGTCATTAAATAATTCAGATATGCAGTTCAGCGCGTAATTGTATGAAACATTTTAAGATTAAACTATGAACAGAAATGTATTTTGTAGCTTAACCTACCGCAAATAGCATTAGGACTCTTAAACTTCAGGTAAAATAACTTGGGGTGACTAATCTCCTGGTAAGGCAAGGACTTGACATTTTTCCTTGTAACTATTTTCATAGAGATTTTATTTATATTTTTTAAGTCACAATAGTTTTGTAAAGGATAAATAAAAATAACCAACAGTATAAAACAAAACGATAAATATCACATCAATCAGTGGTGAAGGTAACAGGTGGGATGTTATCTCAGAGGGTGGAATAGCAAAGGAACTTCAGTTAGACTCAACACGTCAATGGTGGGAGATAATGACGTGTTGTTTGGGGGAAATATTAATAATGTATGAGGCTCATTGCTGACATAAATATTTTTTATCATTACTGGAGTGTCTAAGGCATGGATATGTGTAAAACAGTTTATTTATATAGGGTGATTCAGCAAAGAGTGCATATAATTGGAGGATGAAATCTTTGGATAATTCTAAACCACAATGACTCTATGGTAAAATGTCAGATTCTGCAGAGTTTCCGTGTTACAAAACGTTTAAGATGTGGTATTAATGAGAGTGAATTTGATGTGAAACTCCCCTCCCCCCTGTAACTGCCTTTATCTCTTTCGTTCACACTGTCCCTGTCTCATTGCACCTGTGGCAGCCATCTGTATCACGCTGTACTGCTGTACATAAGACATCTGTGAATAAATGATTACAAAAACCTCCGTTGTGGGTCGTTTGACCTGTGCCCGAGTGGGCTAATTCCCGTAAAAAAAAAAAAATTGAAGAATCTCCCTCTCCCAACCCACTCCACTTGAAGAAACTCCCTCCCCCAGCCCACTCTACCTGAAGAATATCCCCTCTCCCCCCCTTCAACACCATCTAGGATGGCTATTCTTTAGGTGAGCCATAAATACTGTACCCTCTTCCCACACACACCGTGAGGTCGATTCCCATCTCACTCGGGGAAGTCCTCAGTACCTGGCACATCGGTCGCTGAGAGATTAAAGTGTTGTAAAGTATTCCCAGGGACTATCTATCGTATCTCTTGCCTCGTTACCACACGTGAGAAAACTGACATCAGGTGCTGTAGGTTGTACCTCAGTTCGTTGGCTGCCCTTCTCACCTTGCCTTCCTCACTTCATCTTCACACCTCATCCTTCCTCATATTATCTTCCTCACATTACGTCATTGATATGTTAGGACGCACCTTCTATCTTATTACACAGATAATTTTTTTCCCCATATAAAGAACAAATATCATAGTTACAGTTTATTATTTTCCATTTTATTTCTTATTTTTCATTTTCTTTTTTCTCGATTTTTTTGTATTATATTTCCACTCTTTTATTTTCCTTTTTCTTTTTTTCTTTTCATAATAAAACCTAAGGCATGGGTAGACTTACTTGGTGTAGGTTTCAACATAAGAATAGCATGAAGGGGAAATGCCGAAGTGGTTATACGTTAAGACCAACATAATAGGTATTCCAGCACCCATATTATTGCTATGTCCAGTACCCCGAGGTTAAGTGTGGCCGGGCCAGGGATACCAACAGTACACAAGACAACCTTACCGGAAATAAAATAATTGATGCCCTTATTGGCTAGTCTTGGTTGAATTGTCTTACTCTTTATCATTGTTTGTATACCTGCGCCATCCAGGTACTGTTTGCTATAAGGTATCTCTACGGAGGGGTCCGATTAATTTCAAAATGACCACCGCGAATTCTGTTGTCTCGGTAGGGTTATCAAAATTCTTCGTCTTGTGTCATATTGCCTCGCACATAATACTTTTTTGGAGCGAACGTTACATTGGTTATATACATGCACGGTTTATATACAATACCCCCAAAAAGTATCGTTAAATTTTCCGTCGCTACAATTTGAAACACTAGATGAAATTCTTTGATGATCCCCAGTGCTTCATCATAAGTTGGTACTCCAGCTCGCCATATCAACAACAGTTAGAGATAGGGGTAGGAATAGGGGAGGGAGTCGTCCTTGTATGGTATACTATGTACATTCAATATAACAAGAAACTCATGAAGCTATATTAATCGTTCGAAAATGTATAAATTCATTCATGCTCAATGGTCGCGGATGTAGAACTACCAGCCGATCCGAAACAGGTCGAGTTACATTGCTCGGAAAAAACTCGAATCACATCGACCCCCATCGCGAACGACACTTTCTTGGGGTACTATACATTCTGAACCGCATACCTGCATTGTTTATGTACTTGCTGAACCAATTGTAAACTTATATGACGATCTTACTAGACACACACATACAGGTAAGTACAGACACAGTACAACCAACAAACAGGTTGAAGATATTCTAAGTGGGGGTATCGGGGAGTACCTGGGTGAGGGTAGGGTAGGGTGCGGGGGGAAGGCACTATAAGAACCCCCAAGCAGGCCATCACAAACCAGTCTGCCACAAGACGACAACATGCGAGCATCATTCCTCCTCCTCGCCTTCCTGGCCTCGGTAATTAACATCTAATATTAATTCTTATATTCTATTCGAAGAAAAGTTCGCAAAACGGAATTTGTTGGATGAGAATTCAAGTGAAACAAAATTTTATACTGCTCATCCAATTTTCGAAAAAAAATGTACCCAAAACATCTTGTATATATCAGTTTTCTTGTTTGGGGCTCAGAGTTTTGTTTTATAAATTTTGGATCATAATTTGATTGATTTTGTGAATGAGTGAATAACTGATGGACGACTGAACGATACGGTAGAGCCTGGCAGTACAGGTGTCTCCAAAGATCCTTTTTTTTGTTTTACTTTGAGGGAATATCTGCTGATTTTTTTTACGTGTGCACAAGGGCCATACAAAGGTAGTACCAGGGTCATGCAAAGGTACTTGTACCAAGGTAGTGCCAGGACAACACCTTGGTCGTACCAGAGCTACACCTTGGTCGAGCCAGGTCCATAAAAGGGTAGTAGTACCAGGGCCACACCAAGGTCATACAAGGGCCACACCAGAGTCGTACTGGGGCCACACAAGGGTATTAGGAGTATCAAGATCATACCGGGGCAACTACCTGGTCGTGCCAGGGCCATACAAGGGTAGTAGTACCAGGGCCACACTGGAGCCAGGATCAGCTGACGTGTTGGGTCGACGCGTCACCTCTGTTCATGGTAAGACACAAGACCAACACACATAACAACATTAACGTCATAAAACCTTAATATAAGCATCGTCATGACTGCTTCCCTCTCAACAACTATCATCTTAACTCAATTAAAAAAATTAGTTTGTCCTTTTTTCTTATATATATTTCACCTAATATAGCAGCAAGTGTAGTATTTGTTACTGCTTCTCTCCTGCAGTGGGTCCTAAACTGGGGGGGGATGGTACAGGAGGGAGGAGGGGTGAGGCAATGTAATGTGAAATACAATTTTTTTTTATATAAAAGAAAAGTTTTAATAAAATGACGCAAAAAAAATTATTTCATGGTATATTTTTCAGTCATTCCCTTATGCACGAGGTACATGGATAAAATAATTACAAGTTAGTTGATCTTAAAATATATCTAAAGACGAGTACAAGGTGTATATTTGATTGGTAAAAAACAAAATAGTGACGTTAAGTGAAAAGGTTTGGGAACTACTGCGTCTACATCATCAGTTTACATACTTTACAACAATGACGTCATCACAGCTCACGTAACATACGAAAGCAAACTAGTTACTTTTTGGTCGACTAATCCTCAGTGCGGTGTTCGAGTGGATAAAACACTCCCCTTGTGTTCCTTGTGTCTGTGGTTTAATCCCCAGGCACTCTCAGTCCACCCAGCTGTAAACGGGTACCTAAATTTACAACTTGGAGAAGTGTACCAGAGGCTTTAGTATACAGTGTGTTGTAGCCGATGGGACCCACTCACCCTACTCAGTGCAGTACTTGTTTAACTCATTGATACACACAACAAGTTACTCGTTGCCCATATTAAGCCTCACAAGCTGTGGGCCTTACGGATAAACAAACTTTATTGCATCACCTGAAAAATCTCCACTCCAGCTTATTTCACCTGAAGATTAACCACCCTAACACTATAGGGGGGGGGGTGAGGTAAGGTTTGGTTTATGTTAGGTTATGTTTGGTTTATGTTAGGTTAGGTTTGGTTTAGGTTAGGTTAGATTAGATTATGTTAGGTTAGGTTTGGTTTAGGTTAGGTTAGATATGGTTTATGTTAGGTTTACGATAAGGTGGTTAATCTTTAGGTGAAAATTAATAAGCTGGGGTGGTGATTCTTCAGGTGTTATAGATGGTAATAAGAAGTATAGATGTATAGAAAATATTGCTAATATAAGGAAGCTGCCATATATTTATTTTAGATGTTCAGGGATGGTGAATTATGTCAGTATGTATCAGTGTCCAGAGATACATGTCAGTGTCTGTATGAAGGTGTGTTAATGTTTATAACAATATTTTTCACTTTATACTTCAATGCATCACTGTTTACATCAATATATATCACTGTTTATAGCAATATGTATCAGTCCAGACCAACCACCACCACCACCACCACCACCACCACCTTTTTTCTCCACCATCACCACCACCACCCCCTCACCACCTCCTCCTCCTCCACCACCACTCTCTTCTCCACCACCACCACCCTCACCACCTCCTCCTCCTCCACCACCACTTTCACCACCACCAACCACCACACCCACCCACCTCCCTCCACCACCACCACACCACCACCTTCTCCACTCACCACCACCCCACCACCCACCACCCACCACCACCACCACCTCCTTCTCCACCATCACCACCCTCACCACCACCACCACCACCACCCACCACCTCCTTCACTACCACCACCACCACCACCACCACCACCTCACCACCATCACCACCTCACCACCACCACCACCACCACCCCTCCCACCCCTCCACCCCTCCACCACCACCACCACCACCACACCCACCACACCACCACCTCCTTCTCCCACCACCACACCACCACCACCACCACCACCACCACCACCTCCTCTCCACCACCACCACCACCACCACCACCACCACCACCACCACCACCACACCACCTCCTCCACCACCACCTCCCACCACCACCACCAACCACCACCACCACCACCACCACCACCACCACCACCACCACCACCACCACCACCACCACCACCACCACCACCACCACCACCCCTTCCACCACCACCACCACCACCACCTCCTCTCCACACCACCACCACCACACCACCACCACCACCACCTTCCCCCACCACCACCACCACCACCACCACCACCACCACCACCACCTCCTTCTCCACTACCACCACCACCTCCTTCTCCCACTACCCACACCACCACCACCCCACCACCACACCACCACCACCACCACCACCACCACCACCACCACCACCTCACCACCACCACCACCTCCTTCTCCACCACTACCACCACCACCACCCACCACCACCACCACCACCACCACCACCTCCTCACCACCACCACCACCTTATCCTCCTCCACCACCATCACTACCACCACCTCATCTCCTCTCCACAGGCGCTGGCCCAGGATGCGCCGCCAGTCAAGATCGATCTGTACTACGAGACGCTCTGCCCTTATAGCATAGAGTTCGTGGTGGACCAACTCTACCCAACCTGGACCATTCTGAAGGACATTATGGAGGTGGAGATGTTCCCCTTCGGTAACGCCCACGTGAGTAGTGACGCTATATTTTGGAGTAAAGTTCAAACGCAATGATCGTGACTGATTCACTGGTATATTCACTCCAGTTAAAATGTTCGAATCTCCGTAGTGTTATTTAGGCGATAGAGAAGTAATATTTTTGTTATAATTTTACGTTTTGTTTTTTATATATCCTGTCAATCATGACTTAATATCGGGTATAATTTATTAATCGGCTTAAAAACGCAATGTAAATAATCCCTAGTTATCATTCACATTTTTTCTTCTTGGACAATCTACGACGTACGCGGTATTGTAGATTACTATGAAACCTTGGATTTTTTTTCTCTAGGATGAACGGTCTCGCTACCTACTTCATAAATATAAAATCATTGGATACGACCTTTAGTATGCCACATCTGGACTTGTAGTTGGATGACGTGAAGATTAGAGACCCCAGCTTATTTTATCTGGTGATGGAATACCCTAACACTAACCTACCCTAACCTAACTTAACCTAACACTAACCTAACCCAACCTAACACTATCCTAACCTAACCTAACCTAACACTATCCTAACCTAACCTAACCTAACCTAACATTAACCTGACGTAACCTAACCTAACACTATCCTAACCTAACCTAACCTAACCTAACCTAACATAACACTAAGCTGACGTAACATAACATAACCCCTCACCAGGTAGCGTTAATTAAGATGTTTATTAACCAAGTAAAATAACCTGTGAAGGAGTACGTGGCTAATCTTCAGGTGATCTTTATAATTAATATTTCCGTGTCGAGTGTTTGTTTATTTGTTTGTTTATGTTTATTATTTATTCGTGTTTGTTTATCAGTACAAGCAGGATGGAGAGGGCTGGTCCTTCACCTGTCAACACGGGAATGGGGAGTGTCGCGCTAACATGATCCACGCCTGCGCCAAGGACCACTTCAAGGATATCAACATTGAGATGGAGTTCGTTAATTGTCTCCTTTCCTCTGACTATCCTCCTAATGCTGGAGCCACAGTGAGTACCTAACCTAAACTAACCTAACCATATCTGATTAGTATATTAAACCTTTGCCTAGTTATCTTACAGTATGCGGCACAGATACACATTACAATCTTATCTTACAGTGCGCGGCGCAGGTGGGGCAGGACTGGGCACCAATAGACGCTTGTGTCAACTCTGTGGAAGGAGAGAACCTACTGCATGAAGTGGCCGTGGAACAGGAGAAGCTTAAACCCGCTCTCTACTACGTCCCGTGGATCCTGGTGAACGACGTGAGTCCTGGGGAGAGAGAGTGGGAGGGTACTTGGGAGAGAGGAGGGTACTTGGGAGAGAGGAGGGTACTTGAGGGGAGAGGGGAGGGTACTTGAGGGGAGAGGAGAGGGTACTTGAGGGGAGAGGAGGATACTTGAGGGGAGACTTGAGGGAGAGTGAGGGGAGAGGGGGGGTAGAGGGAGAGGGAGGTACTTGAGGAGAGGGAGGAAGTTGGGGAGAAGTCTGGATTGGAGGATAGGGGAGGGTACTTGGGGAGAGGATTAACATTAGGGGAGAGGGTAAGGTATTTGAGGGAGAGGGGAGGGTACTTGGGGAGAGGGGAGGGTACTTGGGGAGAAGATTAACACTTAGGGGGGAGGGTCACAGGTGGTGTTGGGTGTAACCACAATAAGGGCAACACGAGACCAGGGCTCAAGACAGTAACTCACTTTTACAACACTAGGTAACACTTGGCAACACTAGGCAACACTAGGTAACACTTGGCAACACTAGGTAACACTTGGCAACACTAGGCAACACTAGGTAACACTTGGCAACACTAGGTAACACTTGGCAACACTAGGCAACACTAGGCAACACTAAGTAACACTAGGTAACACTTGGCAATACTAGGTAACACTAGGTAATACTTGGCAACACTAGGTAACACTTGGCAATACTAGGTAACACTAGGTAACACTTGGCAACACTAGGTAACACTTGGTAACACGTGGTAACACTTGGCAACACTAGGTAACACTTGGCAACACTTGGCAACACTAAGTAGCACTAGGTAATACTAGGTAACACTAGGTAACACTTGGTAACACTAGGTAACACTTGGAAACATTAGGTAGCACTTGGCAACACTAGGTAACACTTGGCAACATTAAGTAACACTAGGTAATTCTAGGTAACACTTGGTAACACTTGACAACACTTGGTAACACTTGGCAACACTTGGTAACATTTGGCAACATTTGGTAATACTGGGTAACGCTTAGCAACACTTCGTAATACTAGGTAACACTAGGTAACACTAGGTAACACTTGGCAACACTTCGTAATACTAGGTAACACTAGGTAACACTTAACAACACTAGGTAACACTTAGCAACACTTGGTAACACTAGGTAACACTTGGCAACACTTGGCAACACTTGGTAATACTAGGTAACACTAGGTAACACTTAGCAACACTAGGTAACACTAGGTAACACTTGGTAACACTTGGCAACACTTGGTAATATTAGGTAACACTAGGTAACACTTGGCAACACTTGGTAATACTAAATAACACAAGGTAACACTTGGCAACATTTGGTACTACTAAATAACACTAGTTAACACTTGGCAACACTAGGTAACATTAGGGAGCACTAGGTAACACTTGGCAACACTTGGCACCACTAGGTAACACTTAGTAACACTTGGCAACACTAGGTAACACTTTGTAACACTAGGTAACATTTGGCAACACTTGGTAACGGTAGGCAACACTAGGTAACACTTGGCAACACTAGGTAACACTTGGTAACACTAGGAAACACTTGGTAACACTAAGTAACACTAGGTAACACTTGAAACCACTAGGTAACACTTAGCAACACTAGGTAACACTTGGTAACACTAGGTAACACTTGGTTACACGAGGTAACACTTGGCAAAACTAGGTAACACTTGGTAACACTAGGTAACACTTGGCAACACTAGGTAACATTTGGTAACACTTGGCAACACTTGGCAACTCTAGTAATAGATATTTAAAAAAGTACTAAATAATGTTGATTTTAGTTGTGAATGATGAAGAGTTGACATGATTATTTGTAATGTGTTGGCCTTGAAGACTCGCTCTTAATGTCTCCTGAACACTATACACATCACTCTAAAATAACATCGTATTACCCCATAACCCCTGATAAGTCCCGCTACGAACACACAAACACCATCAACTCCTTGCTAGCTCAATAAATTATCTTCGTATGATAGAAATTACACGCCGGAAATCAGTCGATAGATGTAATTTCAATCATCCTAATCCCTGCATCAGTAGTTAATATGTGTGTGTGTGTTTTACGGGATATATCAATCGACAATGCATTATTCGGTGTTGCCTACATGTTTACGTACACACACACACACACACACACACACACACACACACACACACACACACACACACAGACACTCACACACGCTGGCTATATAAGTACGATCATAAGGACATAAGAATGGAGGAAACTGCACCGGGCCTATTGGCCCATACTAGGCAGTCCCGTTTACACCCAACCCCTATGGCTCATATATCCATCCAACCTATGTTTGAAGCTATCCAGCGTATTTGAATCAATGATGATGTTTGGTAACTTGTTCCACTCATCCACTACTCTAATATCTGGTTTCTCTGTTTACATCTCCTAGACTAAGTACTTTACATTTTACCACATTAAATTTCATTTGCCATTTTTCAGACCATGCGAGAAATTGGCTTAGATGTTCTTGTAGTTTTGCGGAGTTCTTGTCAGATTTAATTACACGCCCATTTTAGTATCGTCAGAAAATTTACTTATGTTGCTGTGTACGCCGATATCTATGTCGTTTATGTATATAATAAATAGTAATATTCCAAGTACTGAGCCTTGGGGAACTCCACCAGTGAAGTTACCAATCAACAACCTTAGTCATTCATTAAACCTTATTTTATACGATTTCCTCCTCTTCTCCGGACAGGTACTTGACGGGGACGGTGAGAGCCAAGACAACCTGAAGAAGGTGGTGTGTGACAATTACACTGGAACCAAACCCGAAGCCTGTAACTCCCCTGCACCCCCCGCACAACGTCCTACTACCAACAAGAAGTCCATATCCCCACGCATGGCTATACGTCTGGCTAACAGGTCCTAAGAAGGTTTAGTTACGTGTATATCCCAAGCACAGTACAGTACAGGGTATGTGGTGTTGTGGGAGCTTCGTTCTGTTCCCTCCTTCACCATCCAACACCATCACCACCGTCATCTTCATCACCTGTGTTTTGGTGAGGTCTACTAAAATGCCTTTCAACATCTGGCTATAAGTGTTTCCAAGTATTTAAACACATCACTATCTGGCTATAAGTGTTACCAAGTATTTAACACCCTCACCATCTGGCTGTAAGTGTTACCAAGTATTTAACACCCTCGCCATCTGGCTGTAAGTGTTACCAAGTACTAAAACACTTTCCACCTTCTGCTTATGAGTGTTACCAAGTATTTAACACCCTCATGATCTGGCTATAAGTGTTACCAAGATACTTGACACCTACACCATGTGCCTTGAGGAGTTACCACAACATCTGGCAGTAATCAGTCACCAAATACCACACACCAACACCTGGTCTTAAGTAATCACCATGTACCTGCTAATCACCTCCAACACCTGGGTCACAGTGCTACATTTTGCCATGAACCTCGACCCGTGCCAGCGCCATTGTCATCATGATTGTCGCCATATGACGACAACAAATGTCAGGCTGGGAGGTACAGTATTATGTGGTATAACTTCACCTGTCCAATAAAGGCAGCATTATCATATTCTTGTAACTCTTTTCTATTCCAGTCCATTCAAGGTAACACGGAGGAACACTTTCTCCCTGCATAAATGATTTTGTCAATGATCGTGTAGATATGCTGGGTTTTTTTTCCCATAAGTTGTATACAATCCTTCTAGCGCCTCACACCCCCATACAGCCGTCAGCAGGCGAGCTAGAGGGAAAAAAGTACAGTAATGAAATCGATTTTCGGCAACACACTGCTTCAAGATATGTTATTTGTTATGTTTCATGGGTCGTGTGGATACAGCCGACATTATACTCGGCCGCTTCACCCCATTGCTCCAGTAAAAATTTAAGCCAAAGCTGTATAATTGTCATGAGATTTCACCTCGCCCCACAATCTTGTCATTAATCAATAAGCTTCCCATTTTTTCTTGAGTTCCCCTCCACGAATACTAGAAGATACAACTTCCTTCCTCGTAGATGCACAAATGTTCGTTTAGTAAAATCGTAAAACTAGTTCACATTGGTTCATTAAATAAGTCGCTCAAAAAACTAACTTCAAAAAATTGTGTTGAGAAAATGTAACACAACGGACGAAGGATTTTGACAACCCTACTGAGACAACAGGAGTCGCAGTGTTCATTCATCGATCACCCCAAGTAGAGATAGTTTTTTTGAGTGACTGTACACAAACAGCGTAGGTAAACAAAAGATATGGCAAACAGTAAGTAAATTCAGATCACGTAAAGATTAGGCACCAAATGATGAAACATCCTAATGCTAACATACCCTAACCTAACCTCCCCCAGGTAACATTGGGGTGTTTTACCAGCAGGTGAAATAAGCTAGGGTGATTAATCTTCAGGTCATTGGCCAATTCAATCAAGGAGAGACCAGGAAAACTGTTTAAAAGCTTATATAAAATATTCAATGGGGTCCATTCCAACAATCTCGGCGGAACACGCGATCTTATCACTTCTTTGTTTCGTTATGACCAGTGCCTGATGATCATGTTGACCTGACTTATCCTTTACCACGGTCAGTGATTGGTGATAAGAGATAGGGCATTGTCTCTCGTCATTATTCTTATCTAACCTCAGGTATTCCCTGTCTTCTTATCCACCCTTTATCCAATTTCTCATCCCATTTTCCCCATCCCGCTCCTTCTGATGGTTGGGAAGAGTTTATTGATAGTTTCGTGTGTATAAAATCTATTGACATTTGGGTGTTCCTGGTCTGAGTGATATCGCCGGGTGAGGGCCAGACTTACACTACATGTGTGTTTTATTCACAAGATTCATATGCATCAATATTATATAATACAGTACAATAGATACGTCCCCATCTCGGTTGTGCATTAAATAATTCTAGGACCAAACATTGACAGCCTTTATGTACTCTGTAGTGACACTGTACTATACAGTAGAGTTAAGGTTTTAGTATATAATGGCCATAACATGCAATTCGATATCGGGTTTTAGTTTTCAAAGTTATAACTTATGGTAAAAGAAAAGGACAAAGGCTAAGACATAAACACGTTAAATGAACAGATTTTATTTACCATCGTACAGTCGCTCAACCGACGCTACAATCCTCGCTACCACTTCAAGCTCCCTCCTCAGCACCTCCCACTCCTGTCGTGCGTGTAGCAGCATCTGGTGAGATGCCCGTTCCTGGCCCGGCTCCAACACATTGACTATGTTAGCCCAGATGTTGTCTATTGGGTTTAAATCAAAGGCTTTACTTGGCTAGTTTTAAAAGCTCCTTGTCCCACCGCTCCGGCCACCAGAAAGTGACGATCTCAGCCGTGTGTACAGTTGTCCAGCATGAACACAGCTCAGGGTGCGTAAATCCACTTAAAGGGAATCATTACCTCCTTCATTAAGCGCAAAGCAAGGTTAGTAATTGCACTGTCACAGCTCGTGGTGTATTATTGCGTCAAAATTAACGAAAAAGACCATATAAGCGTAGGTCGAGAAACTCAGCACGAGAAAGGTATAGAAACTGTGTAAAGTACTTGTAGATAGGCGGCAACATTACCGCCAAACTCTCGACGTAGAGGAACAGATTCACAACGTTGAATATTCTAGCACAAACACTCGACGAGTTGCTGCTCCTGTGTACACTTCACAACCGTCCGTTTGGAGGACTCCACGAACAGCAGCTGTACTGTACTTATACACTGTCATAGTCCAAGCGTTGAATCCGGCTGATTATCCTGGACGACTGGTGGTGTATCAGTATGTTTTACGCCGCTGTGTTAATAACCGCTTGTTTTCATGTAATTTACAGACAAATGAATCTAGTTTTTCACTTGACGGAATTGTTAAGTCTCACAACTTATATACTTGGCAGAGGAAAATCCTCACACAGCAACTAGTAGAGTACGTCATGAACGATATGCAATCAACGTGTAGGGTAGAAATCATCTTATCGGCCCGCATCTGCTACCGCACTGCGGTTGCATTTGTGGGCCGATTAACTGGAGCTTCTTATATGCGATTCCTCGGGCAGAATTTGTCACTGCTGCTTGAATATATACCTATGATAACTCGACGACTAATGTGGCTCATGCATAATGGTGCGCCAGCTCATTTATCCCGTTTGAGTGAATAAATCGATGTTGTGTATCCCGACAAGTGGGCAGGGCGTGGTGGTACTATTCCGCCTTCTCGGTCACCAGATACAATTCCTCTTGGTTTATATTTGAGGGGTCATTTGAAAACATGGTTTATGCTACACAGGTCCGAGCATGTAATAAAAGTGTGACTCCAGGATTTTTCTACTGTCAACTACTGGTGTTACGACCTGAGGCGGTATTCAAGCCGTAGGAAATGATGTAATTATTGCCTCGTACTTCAGATCTCAGTTCCTCAAGAATCCTTTCGTGTGTTATAGTTCAAAACTTAAGGGATTGTGGTATTTTTCTTTACATTTGTTTCAAGAAAACACCTGAGCCATCTGGCGCACACTTGTGAATCCCCCTGTATGTATAGAAAAGGACCAATATGGCTCTAGTCAACAATATTTACACATACTGTACTGACTTCCCCAGGCCGCTCGTAAATCAGAAGTATCCATATTATTGTTTAAAAAATACATGAAATAAGTAATAAGTAACATGAAATATCCTTCAAAAGGGGAATTACGAAGCTGGATAAATATAACCTACGGAAAGAAAACGTTGTACGTGAACTTGACTCGAACCTCCGATTGATACAGACTAAGGTAGATATTTTGACCTTATTTGAGAGTTCCACCTGAAGCATTAAATAAAGATGTCACAAAAAAAAAAACATAGTTCAACTTGATCCAAAAGCAAATACTGAAAATTATTTAGTCGGCAGAAATGTGAAACTGCTAAACTTTGAAACTAAGACAATAGTAAGCGATAATATAAAAAAAACAGTATTTTTCAGTAAGGTATAGAGGACCAAACGTTTCATAAAATAAATAAAACAATCTCAATTGAACGTAAAAACACAAAACCTAGTCATAAAAAATGGATTTCGGCAACAATGTTTACTGGTGATATAACTAGATGGCGTCACTTGCACTGTCTAGCTGCGGCTTGGTATGAAGGCTCGGGTGTGCAGTGTTGTGCTCTCGACATCACAAGATTAAGCGTGTGTGGGACAGAGATCAGTTCCCTAAAAGTCAATGTGAGTGAGCAGGAGTTCTTGCATATACTGTATTGACAGAGTCTGTGTTAGAGAAGGAGTGTGGTGGGGCTCACATGGCGAGTGAGTTTACTGTACTGTCATCGCTGGAACATAGCAAAGACAACATGGGATCTGCAGCAAATGGTAATGGCTCTATTTTTATTATATTTTATTTAGATGTGATGCTATTGAAAATGTGTCCTTAAGAGATATTTTATATTATCTATGTGAAACGAGTTAGTCAATTGTATTTTAATTATTTTCCTTAGGATTAATTTATTAGTATCATTTAAAGTCGTAGTGAACTGTGGTCACGTGAAATTCAGGTCTCCTTATTTTTAAAGAAAACTCAAACATCGTGATATACACTGCGGTATGGCGGACTTGCGTATACAGTGATTAGTGAAGAGGGGCTTTGGTTACGATTGACATACTGTACAGTATACAGAGCTCTCGTTTTTCTCTTTTGTCTTGTACAGTTGGCTCCACTCCTGCGTTTACACGTAGTGCTGTCAATCCTCTCTCCCCCTGAGGTGTGAACCCCGAACTCTGAAGTGTGAATTCGAAGCTTTCGCCAGGGAGCTGGAGGGAGAGGGCCGGGGTGTGTTGGGGTAGGTGTGTTTCAGCGGGCAGGAGACGGGGTATTAGAGTAGGGATGAGGACAAAAAAGGTATATCAGTTGGGAGAGATTACAGTGAAGGATTACACTTGGCAACACCGACGGGGTTTCCTCAGCTGAGTGTAACCGTCTACCGCTGGCCAGATGAAAACACTAAAGTTACAATAGGATGAGAGGGGAAGGAATTCATGTTGTGTGTTGCAAAAGCGACATTTATGAGCAAATGGATTATATATATGTGTGTGAATCTATTTCTTGTAGAAGCAGCGAAGTTTTTTTGACCCTTTGATTACGAGATGGAACTTCCCCAGCTGAATGAAATCATCTGGCGGTAACCAGAATAAAATCGGCAATGAAAGGATTAATTAGCAATTAAAACAATCAGGAAGTAGGCACCACATATTTATTGTAACACAAACTTGATGTGAACAAAAATAGTTAAGTTGGCAGCTGTCTAGTATAGTGTCAGCAAACCAAATAGTTCAGTTGTGCCAAACAGTGAGGTTAACTGGGTAAAAAAGGCTATTATTATGATTATTATCACCAGAGGTGTAATTTATGGTGCAAAGTGATATATGTGTTGCTTAAAGGTCGTATATGATAAAGTAAATTGCTTCTATGCTGTGCATAGGAGGAAACCCTCGACTCCCCCGCCCTCCCTGCCTCCACCACCCAACTCCTACTCTGGGTTGCTGGTAGTTAAACCACTGCAGACAATTTGCAGAGTAGAATAGTATTGTGTCCTCTCACTTCGAT